CTACTCATTAGTAGTTATCCACATGCATTGACAGATGCTAGCCAACCAATGATGGGCAATGAAGAAGAAACTTCAAGCGAACCTCGAAGTAGATGTCAAGTTGATATTGTCCGTGCACAGGTACCAGTCGTATTTTCAACAAGTGTAGCACACAGATTTTTAAGCATACCGCAAAAGCGAATGTTTCAATTATACGTTTTGAACTGTGGTGTTTAGTTGATCCCCGTAGTCATCTTTGTTAGCAATGGTATGATATCCGACCTATTGCATTAACTAATTCCGCTTACGAACAGCTATTTTCACCCCTTATAAATATTGCTGCTGTTACAGGGTATAATTTTTTTTCTAGAACCTTACTTAATAATCTACTTTTTGGAACTACGGAAGTACCCCTAAACCCTTATGTATCGCTGTGTACCCTTTGGCTCTTCATGTACTGGTATGTTGGTCGTTAAATGGTTTTCCCCTGACTAACTTCCAGTGCACCGAGAATAGCAAACGGTAAAGTTATATTATTCTTCTGCTTAGGAGGAATGCGAAACTACGTATATCTCCTATGGATTTATGTAGTTGAATAGACTTTGTATTCATATGTCCAGTAACTAGAACAGATCCCAGGATGCGACATCAAATACCAGAGCAAAGTCGTCAGTAGAACTTTACCCTTAAGGGTAGTCTTTCTATTTGGAAAATAATGAATGTCAGTTTATTCAAAGTCCGGAGATTATGAAAGATAAGTATGTAGTTCGTGGCTTCAGGAGCGCGCCTTCCTCTGAGCGACTTCTGAGTTACGAATCAGGGGCATAGTCAAGTAGGAACAGGACATCGCTAGATAGCAAGGCAAGCTTATGTTTCTCGATAGCTATGCTTAATTGTTTTATTGATGCCTCGCATATGCCGGTAAAACTGTGATTACTGGGTAGGAAATCTATGTTTATGGACCCATGATGGTCCCAGAATACGGTGGGCGTGACTTACTATGCTAAATGTTGAACACATGCCGAATTTGGAATTGGGGCAACCAACATGTATTAAATTTCTGATGCGGATTTGTTTTATTGATAATAGTAATAAGTTTGTATGCTGAAGAGTTATGTTACTTTTTATAATAAATGGTCCCCCAGAGTTTGTGATCATTTTCTGACTCCAGAAAAGTGTCGACAGTAGGGAAAGCCATAGTGATGTCATCTTTTGCATGTGTTATGATCACAGCTACCTCGTGGATCGCGAACTATCCCCTTAGGCTTCAGTTGATGGTCAGAGTTTGGAGCTCCTCTGACCCCATACAGGTTGACTGCGGTGTGCTTCAAAGCTCGGTGCTAAGTCCCTGATTGTTTTTGCTAATTATCAATGACCTCACGTAGGCAAATACATCTAACTTACCGCTGTTCACTGATGACCCAAGATTTGGCACAACGTTCAAAGGAATACTGACCAGAAACTGATTCAGAGTGAACTAGACACGGTACATCAACTCTACGTCCTAAATTCACTGCAATTCAAGAAGAGTAGATGCAAGGTTCTCTCCATATGACACCAGAGCAACCACTGTTTCAGTTTCGGAAAGGATGTGCTGCAGCGAGCTGCCACCCAATTTGATTGGAACGTACTGGTGCGGAATGATATGGGTTGTGCCAGGCAATCTGAGAAAGCCTCCAAAACTGGTACTCAAATATGGGTCAGTTACGACAAGCGTTCGGACAAATAGATCGTTCTTTTTTTACAGATGTTTATTGTGTATGTCCGAAATTATGTGAGATATACAATACAAGTTTGAAGCCCATCGCTAAAACAGGGCCTTAGTGAATTGGCTCAGCCGCGAATTCGGGCAACAAAATTCCTTAGTGGAATGCACCATCTTCCTACGAGGAGAGGCTGGAACAATTGGGGATATTAAGCGGAAGTTACTGCCAAATATGATGGGACTTGATAATGGTGTACTCAATTCTACAAGATCCACATCATCTGTTTCGCTCTTTACTGCATCACATCAGTATTATCAACTTGAGAGGTCACTCAGTAAAACTGGCAGTAAAGTACAACCGATAGGATTACCGCAGAAAGTTCTTTTCCGCCTGCATGTGTCATCTGCAGGACGCTCTCCCAGAATCGGTCCGTTTTGTACCAGCAATATCTATATTCATAAGGCGTTTTGTCACTTTGTATTACATTCCCATCCCACTTCTGGAAAATAATTTGGATTTATTTGCTGTTATATATTTGCTATGAAACTGCGCGGTTCGCAAAAATACAGCGAAACAAAGGATAAGTCCACCTTAAATGTAAATAAACCGCTGCACTTTATTTTTCTGTTAACGCTGCTAAATCACTTAAGCAAGCACGTAAAGCATTACTTCTTAACCCGTATAAATTAATGGCTTTTTGTTCATGGTCACTTGCAAGACCCACAAAAATTCTCACAATGTAGGCTCTTTAACGAACGGTTATACGATGAGCATAAAAAGTTGGGGTCTCTACCTCATCAGCAGTAAAAGGCAAGCAGCTGGAATTATAAGCTGTATCTTCTGAGGTTCAACTGCATTTAGACTAGTGATGACAGTTGTTAGCAGCATCATATGGTGGGCATTATCGCCATAAGCCACTGTAAATTTAGCATGTGTTTTACATGGCGCGGCACCGATGGATGAAATTTATTTGGTACTATTTGTGTTCAACTGGGCTACACAATTCACTATATATCCATCTCAGAGCATAAAAATGAAAGGTTGGTTGGAATGGAGATGCGATTAGACAAAATGTCTAAAAAGATCTTTACAAAGACCTAATTCCAACCCTTCAGGTTTACTGGAATTTGATGATGGCAATTATTCACTTAACGACCCATGTAACACTGGTCGCTCGCAAACCTGTAGGTCAGTTCCGTAGTTGCAGGCTGAAGAAGAACTAGTAAATATTATCTCCATGTTCGCAAGATTGTCTGTCTTGTTTTTCTGATTGTTATCATTCAGCAATTGCTTTTGATCACGATGAGCTACTCAATATTTACAACAGGATCCAGTTGTAAGTGTAAATCCCACGAGAACGCTCAGATTCATTCGCTTATGATATGTTTGCGCGTTGAACATGTACACGGACACTAGTTGTGGCCATGTACTAAAGAAATGTGAATCTCATGCTTGTTTACTTGCAGTTCGCGCGCATATATTTTTTCTTACACAATCCTGAATTCTACTGTTCTGTTGGGGCGACCCATTTCCACAAGAATTGGTAACAACAAAGACTGTCAAATCGTACGTGGTATTTGTATTACCGATGCATTTCTGTTGTAATGCTAGACCACTATTACTCTGACATTTTTCCGCCCTTTGTGTGTTGTTCGTGATTGCTATGTAGACGGTAAGTCCCGCTTTGCAAAACAGCCTTTGACAGTCATATGTTTATTTGCTTTTGAACAGTTTTGATTGTTCAAGAGACGCTGGTGGAAAGATGGTGATTTATACATGCTAGCTATATTCTCGATTATTCAAACGGGTTTACGAATATATGTCCATAATTCTTTGCTATAGCATCATTGGACACCGCAACGCTAATTCGTTCTCTAACTAACTGAAGTCCACACTTGTCATTCACCTGACATATGGACCTTTTCCCTTAATTTGTTTGCTTTAAAGCGCCATCCCACAAATTTCCTTTCATCTACAGTTGCAATTAAATGAGTTGTTACAACTGAGTTAACCGTATCAAACCATTTTTTCACTAGTCAAAAGCCATTAAGTGAAGTAGAGAAATAAGGATATGCGGAATGCTAGTGCAGTCGAGGAGATGCATGCGTTCAACCGAGCACGCTGAAACACATATATTCAAATCCCCCATCGGACGCGAATGTTTTCACAATTGTTGCAGCCAAACGCTCTTAGTAGCTCTAGTACTAGATTAATTTGACTAGCGACTAGAAACAATTTTAGGAGAATAATTCCATCGAAGTCGACCGGTTGCGGCGAGTTACATTTTTACTTCGAATTTCAGTGCTGTAACTAGTAAACAGAATTGATACCATAGACATGGCTAGGTGACCCACAGCGGTGTTTATCGCTAGCCTTAATACAGTTTGCACTGCGCTGAGGTGAACTCAGTAAACCTCAAATTGACTTTGCATCTTAATGATGATGACAATGGACCTGCTACTGTGAACGACTTTGACCATACGTGCGTTTGCAGCAAGATAGCCTCAGATAGTGATATTTCACTACGTATGCTCAGGTTGTCTAGTGGTGATGAGTTATTAATTTCGTATTTCTCCTGTTCTTCTTCTGATGTAGAGGCTTCATGGAACGTAAGTAATGTTAAAATAAGCTTAATGAACCCTGATTGGTTCCTTTTCAGACACGTACCTGGATTTCATATATGTTTATCCTCATAACCGCACTAAGCTTGTGTGCTTTCTTCACGTGGTGACCTTTGCTCCCGATTGTGTCGTAAGGTGCGAAATATCTATTGTCCGTACCCTGATGGGGACTAGATAGGTTATAGAAATTGTGATCTCCTATGTTCCTTACTCGCTGCTTCCTTTCGAACCTAGTTTATTTTACAATGATAACTCTTTTAATGATTCGTTAGTCTTCTTGCCTACCTTCCTGCATGTCAGCGATCTTACGTGTTACTCAGTTTCATCCTATTTGAAAATGCCGACGACATCGCTTCATGGCCTGTAGATGCAACGATAGTAGAAAATTCAAAGTGCTAAAAGGAGTAGACGAACTTGCGAACCACTAGAGCTCCCAATCTCTTAGCACGTCAAGCGCAATTTTCCTCATTCCACTTTCCGATGTATCTCCCGCTGTTTATTCGTAAGTGACTGCAACATTCCTTCTTCAACTTCCTAAAGGTACTTCCACTTTTGCTTATTACATGGTCTATTCTAGTCCGAAGATATTTTATATCTATTTACGGAATCAGCAAACCATTAGTTTACACTCTCAAGCGCAATTTGGTTTGGTCATCCCGTGATGCGAGTTCGTGACATGTAACCGCATTACTCTCTCTTTTCTAGTTTATTGCGCACTTGTGATTCCCCCGATATCCTCAAAAATTTACATTCAGATTGTTCGTTTGCTAAACTTTATGTCCTGTCAGTATGAATTGAGAGAAGATTGGAGTGTTGAATTTGTCGTTGGTTAACATTTTTGCCGGCGTATCAATATTTCTTCACGGATCCAAGACGACCCCCTTCAAGGCTACGTATTTATCTCGATAGTGTTCTGTATTTGTCCTAAATGTCGTCAATTTTCAAGATTTTCTTTTCTCTTACCTTCAATAGCATGATGAACTCACAACTGCTGAAGCAGGCAGGTAAAGGACATCTTCAATATACAGAGCACTGTGCGACTGCATACAAAATCTCGAATATAACCCTGATGACGAAAAATGACTCCTATCTTAAGGTATGCCATCAGGATGGACATGAAGTTAAATCAAATTATAGAAATCGGTGAATTATAACACTTATGGATCACTGTGTTAATTTGTTCACATCCAAGATAACAGCATCCCAACTGCGCTGAAAGACGAACCTACGACGAGGGCGAAAACGTTGATGGCGTTCTTGGATGCTGAAAAAAGACAATCATTGTTCAATAACGTGTAGTACGGTTAGTAATTAAGCAAACTGCCCAAGCTTTAAATAAGAAAAGTTGGTTCGGCATGAAAAGTTAATGATTAAAACGAAACTTCATGCAACTTTCGATCGCACTAGAGATGCGCAGGTTCACGTTCTCCTGCAGTGGACTTGAACGCTTTATGTCGTAGGCAAATCTGACAATCGCACCTGGCGTTATATGGCGAGTGAGTTTTGATCAAATCATCACCGTATGCTGAAGCGCGACGTATAAATTATCCCTGCATAGACGGAGAGTACTATAACCCAGTTTAGTAAAAGTCATTTTACCTACTTCACCAACTGGTCAGTGTGTGTACTTATGACTGACTTCACCCTGTAGTAATACTCCCAGGATTTTAAATACGTGATCTCTTTCGGGAGAAACGCAATTGCTCAAACCAATCCGATAGGAAATGGAATACCGGCAACGTGTAAAGTGTTTGTCATTTTTTCATGCTTCCATCTTACTGCAAGTGCTTATCATAGTACGATGTGGGACACAGTTCTTGGATTGCCAGCCTTAGAAAAGACACAATCACTGCGAGAAAAATATAAAAGGGTGATGGACATCCTCCATTCGCATTTAAAACTGAAATCACTAGTAATGTTTAGTATTTAGCAAAAGTGCCTTCTAATGAATACCACAAGGACTCACCAAACAACAAATCTCCAATCCCATTATAACATTTTAATACCACCTAAACTAATTCACACCTCGAATTGGTCAGTGTCGAAACCGCCCTATGTTTGCTCAATATCGCATTCAATCTAATCTTAAGGAAGACGATATATTGATGCACTGATCCAATTATATTCCTCGATTTTAACAGTGATTTTTAGGAGACTAGAGAGTACATTCAGACAATGTAACGATAGCTTCGGCGCAGCCTGACTTGCCATTTCCATCATGCAAAAATCTCAGTACTTTAATAAGTGCACATCCCAAATTTTGATTAGGATTACGGAGTTCCCTAAAACTAAGAGACATACATTCCTTTACCATTTCCCCTACGAACTGCCATTGTTGCAGTTTTCCCTCTACATGATTTGATTTAATCCGCATTACCACCAAGTTTGGTTACTGTATTTTAATTGGAAATTAGCTGGGGAAAACTAGCAATGTGCTACTGGAGTTAATTAATAGCAATTTGAACAGCCACGTTAATTACACATCGCAAGCAGCTGAAATATCCAAACTATACTGCTAAATTTCCTAGTCTTACAAATGATCACTCTTTAGACATGAACTGGTTTTACACGTTCTAGTTACTTCATTTTCATATGTATGTTGTTATCCAACCAGTTGGTAACGGATGTGTTAAAATCCGGCTTCTGACTACTTTCTAATTTGCAGCACTTGCTAGTATACGTAGTAGTTGTCAAGAGTTTTGAAAGTATAGTTTCAACTTTGGTTACCCAATATTTACGGCTCCCGTGGTTTGGAGGATGCAAGCGTTAGATGCAAATTTTAATCCCTGGTTTTATGTTAAATATACGAAAGTCGCAGCATCACGTTACGATCGATAAAAATATTCCCTGGAAAACGTCCTTTGTAAGAACACTGTAGTCAATAATGTGAAAAGGCGAACTCGTCAAGTTGCTTTGTCGACTAAAGCAGTTAGCGACCAGATTCAACAAAATAACATTAATGATGCACTAGCAACTGACGGTAGATGAAATCTAGTGGATTGTCAGCATGGCTTGAACATTTTGACTTAGGTTTCAAGACAATCAGTTTTTTCGGGACAACGATGAAGCCAATGACCTAATCAGATACTAGAAGCAAATCGCGCTAGTTAACTCCATGCATAACATCAATTCTCCCATGAACTTACCCAGTCCTGGAGTAGGTGTGCTGTCAGTTACCGGCGTTGCTGCAGTGGCGATGGATGTGGCAGATGTATTTTCTTCACCTGTCGCATCATTCAGAAATAAGACACCGGTAAGTGAAGTGGAGAATTTATAAGAAATAATTTTAGCCGCTGTTTGGCCGCAGGTTGCAGACGGTTAGTCAAACGTCCAGCAAAGAGACGCGAATATTTTGCTCCGAACGATAAGCAAGATCAGTCAACAAATGGATAAATTACATAGTCTAAAAAACATTTAAGATTTATGTAAATAATAAAGCGGGAAGTTGTCATCTGAAATAGGTGAACTCAAAAATACTAGTTCTTCCTAGCCTGCTCATTATGTACAGAACCAGAAAATATCAGGTGGAACTCACTTTCTTGAACAGACGTAGTAACCGAAGTTAACACTGGTGCTGCTTCTGTCGAAGTGGTAGTTGTCAAAATCTCCGTTGTTGTATCTGTTTTTATGTATTTAGCAAAAGAAGTTAATATGAAGTAATAAGTTAACCCATTTGTTTCGCAGGCAAAATAAGCAACATGGGTGACAATAACTAAGTTAATGTGTTGATTTTGGTGCTCACTAATCTGTTCGCTTTTGTAATTTATCGGAATCGACAGTATATCGGAAACCTGTGAATGGAGTGCGTTCTATTACTTATCGCTGGGACAAAGCTACACCCAATACCCAGAGTAGACCAAGACTTAAGAAATACAGATGGAAGAGAAGAAAACTGCTTTTACTGCAAAGTTGGTTTCTTTAATTTGTCGGCGTTCCTAGGGTTTACGGTACACGTTATCTACCTGCTTGGATCCAGAATTATTTGCAATTGTTCCTTGGTAAGAAACCCATGCAATCTGTTTTATTTTGAAAAGTCATATCCAGTGTTATCATTTTATTACTAAAGATTATACAATCTGCGCATTGATGGAATCAAGCATTTCTTAGTGTCAGAACAGGTTAAGGCTGAAGTATCTTCTTCTCAAATTACTGTGTAGGGCTGGCTACTGTACACATCACAAAGGCAGTTTGCATTTTGCATTCGACTCGATGTTTAGGACCTAATGGAAACTTACGTAACTTCCCTAATTAAATGAATATGCCAATGTAGGGCACCTGGGAATATTCACATACAAAGCCTACAATCAGTTTACCCAGGTGCCAGGATTACGATAAGTAATTCCAGGAAATTAATGAAATAAGGAATCTAAGCCAAATTTATTAAAATATTTGAAGTTTTTTCCTTAAATACCTGCGTTAGAGCCCCCTAGATCCTTATTCACACCGTTCCTGTACTTTATGTCCAACTAAAAGACATGTTGTAAACACGAAATACTTGTGACATCTTTTGTCTGTATCGCTTTCTCAAATATTCTACTGCATAACACCAAAAATAGTACCAACTAGCGCCGCTCATATTTTTGCGATTCCAAAAGTAAATTTACTTGACTTGCCTTCGAAAGGTTCTCAGTGAAGGAACCCTCATGGAAATTAATATTTTCTTATCTGGTGTATGGAATTCATCATCCCGTTACTTATAATGCATTGTGTATCGGTTTGTTTTCCAAGCATCAAACTACTACGTTTCATTAAAATTTCATTTGTGATCCTCACTATCGCATTCTGCTAGCTAGCAAGCAACATCAGGGCAAATGCGCAATGTTTGCTTTGTTCCAAGCAATCCACGTGAAAATATTGCACGAAGTATGATTGTGAACAAATATGTTGGTAAAAGAAAATTCAATATTTGATAAACGAATTGTGCACACTGGTAATATCCGTTGCTAGCCGGAGTGAATATCAAAATTTACAACCTTATGATATTTGTCTTACTGTAATCCCAGTTCCATGGTTTAACCATTATGTCTTGCGAAAAATACCCTCTAAATCTTTGTTAATAATCTATGATCCCCTTTTTCGAGAATCAGTCTCACTGTTGCCGGATTGTTTTCACTAACTTTTGTAGATCAACTCTTGATCGTACGAGACGAAATCACTCCGCTGGTTTAGAAAATTCGCTGACGAACAACCAAGAGGAGGAACCAATTGCTCGTGATCCTAGTAAGTACGTGATGAATTTATCGAACTTACAAATTGATGCGTTGCTATTAGAATCCTTATCACTTGCGCTGGATTAAAATTCTTCCATAGAAATTTGAACGGTTTGTTTATAGAAGCCAAATTTGAAAAAATTTTTGATCAGTTTAAGAAGGTCTAACCAACCAGCTCTGATAAGCATAATTGGTTCAAAAACAAGTTAACTTATATCGCCCGTGAGGTAAAAACTATGCCAATTTAATGAAAAGTGTGCCATCACAGCTCGACATTTTCAGGCTTTTCGTAAACTACGAGCTAAGGACGTAGTCGTGATGAAACCAGATATAGTTTTAGGTGTTGTAATCATGAATAAAACCGAATACAATGAGAATATGTGCGCCATACTCAACGATGAGAGTAAATTCGAATGGCTCACGAAATTCGGGGACATAACCAATGTCGAAATGCGCATAATTCGACACCTGGAATTACTTCTCCTCCACTGCGTGATCGACTTTGATACATTTAGTAGTTTGAAGCCCAGTGGTAGCACTATTCTACAGATGTATGGGTCCCCAAAGACACATAAGATTGAAGTGCCACTCAGGCCAATCCTTTCAAGGATGAACGCGCCCCAGCACAAACTCGCTCGTTGGTTAGTGGAGTTGCTAACTCCGCTGAAACAGTTCAATCCGTACAGTCTTAAAGAGTCGTTTCAACTCATTAATGATCTGGATGAACACAAGATGTCAGACAAAGTTATATGTTCCTTGGATGTAAAATTCTTATTTAGCAACTCACCGCAACATCAGACCGTTGATTACGTGTGCGAATTAGCTGAAAACGGTGGCTGTTCGCTACCAATTCCGATGATTGCTAAGAGAATCGCTACTATAGTGTACATCGAATGTGGATTTGCACTTCCGGAATAAACCATACAGTCATATTGACGGCGAAGCAATGGGTAGCTCATTAGGTCCTGTGCTCGCTGATTTCTTCATGTTGATGGTAGAAAGAAGCATTTCTACAGAAAGAGCCCAGGTGCCATACTACAAAAGATATGTCGATGATATCTTGGCTTTCTGTTCGTCGGAGCAGCAGCTCACATATTTGGTAGAACGGGTCAATGGTGCTCATGCTAACTTACGGGCTACATGCGAAATAGAACAAAACAATTGTCTACCATACCTGGACATATTCATAACTCTCAGGGAGGATGGATTGATTAAGAGGTCCATTTACCGAATATCAACATGGTTCGGTCAGTACCTGCACTTAACCAGCTTCACAATAGCGCGGTACAAACGGACACTTGTGGAGACTCTAGCTGGTCGTGTCAGACGAATTTGTTCGGCCGACTGTCTGCACGATGAGCTAGTGTTAATTACAGCAACACTAATGGCCAACGGCTACCCTCGAAGATTTATCGAGAAACACAGACAACCGCGAGGACCAAAGGACTTGGTGCAAATGGCAGCCAAGAAGAAAGTCTATCTCGAGTTACCTTCAAAGGTGGCTTAGCCACGCTGAAGATAACTAAGCGTATAATTTCGGCTACACAAGGAAGTTACTATGCTGCACAAGTTGTCGTCATCAACCGAACCCGAAATTTGCCCATACCTCCAACGAAGGAAGCTCAGCCTATTGGTGCCAACTCACACTGTGTATACCAATTTGTATGTGACTGCGGAAAAAGGTACATAGGCAGAACCAATAGAACACTGACTTCCCGAATAAAGGAATATATGCCAAGATGGGTTCAACGTGAAGTTGCTCAGATTGCCTACCCTCATCAGATTCCATGTTCGCGCAGACCGCCGGCTTCCTCGATAGGCAAACACCTATTAGACTCAGGTCACCAATTGGAGCTGGGCTCAGCATTTAAAGTTCTGTTACGTCACATTAATCCCCGCTTCCTTCGGTTTGCTGTGGCTGTCGCTATAAGCCGGATTAAGCCAGCCTTGTGTGTTCAGACACAATTAATTTTCAGCCTAAAGCTGCCTTGTAGGTGTGAACTACCGTCATTCGTTTTGTACCTTAAGCTTGTCTGTTTGCACCCACTGTTATCTATAGCTTTGCATATCGGTTATTGTTAATGACACTGAGGAGACAACACGAACTGCATGTATCTACCAGCCTTCGTCTTCTTTCCTTGTTTTTCAAATTTTTGAAGGGAACTACATGCTTTAATTAAGAAATTTTCGTTTTACATGGGGCAGTGGGAAATCATTACTTGGTTACATCCTAATAACATCATGATCCTCTGCTTTAAGTAAAGGATTTTTGCTGGACTACGGTTACTAGCATTACATAATGCGCTTTTTGGTGATTCTAAGCTGCGTAAAGCTTTCACATTCAATATTTTTGCGCTTTATTAATTTCCATCCCACGCAGTAATATATATATCCCAAGTTTGGAACAAACAAGAATTTCTGATGTTTATTTAATTGACTGTATCACGGAGAATTCTGATCCGCAGCAATCCAAAATTCCCTTTTTTAAGAATGAATCAATGGAGGCAGTTTTTAAATAAAGAAAATTTATCGGTAATTCTCATCAGACTCAAATATTACATGATGACAAGAAAGTGCTAAATATACCGGATTGGGCTTCAAATTAGACAGAATGGTTTTAGATTCAAGTATACTTTTCCCAACTTTCCTCCGCGTATACCGGAAGCATCTTCTGTCTATTGCGGTAGCTATCAACATCCGCCACCTCAAGCCAGGATTGTGCGTATAAAAACTGTTTGTACATCCTTTACTTCTACCGTGGTCTACATCTTCGGCTGTGATTTCCCTTGTACATACTAACCACTTTCAATGACTCCGTGATTTATTGATTTGTTCCTGTGAAAATTAAACATTCTGTTCAATACGGAGCCAAATTCGTCATATTTAGCACTATCTCGTCATCATGTAATGTTTGAGTCTGGTGAGAATTACCCAAAAGAGTTCTTTACTCAGATTCTCCCTCTGTTGATTGATTCTAATAAATGGGATATTTAATTCCTGCTTAATTTGCGAAGAATTTGTAGGCCGTTTCTATGTAGGGAGGTTATAACTTTACCATCAATGGATGCCATCTTGTGCATCGATCTGTTTATCACTCAACAATATGAGTTGTTAAAGTAGCTGGGGGCTGCAAAGGTGTCTAAATCATTTGTACGACATGTGGCACACATGGAATATGTATGCCGTGCGATCTCATTCGTGGATTTCAGTGTCAGATATGCGGAATCAACTATCTTACTTTCGGTGAGTTATTGGCAGCTCTGGCATGGTAAAATTCACCCTTATCTTAAGTACACGGTCTTAGAAATATCACCATTATTTCAATCGTGATAAACAATAAAAATATTCTGTTTTTACTCGACAGACCGACAAAGTATTGAATGATTATTCTAAAAAGCGTCAGGTACGGAAGAACTAGTAATGTTTTCGCTGTTATATGCAAATATTTAAAAACGTTAACAAGTACGACATGTGTTTCTTAAATTAAATTCTGATGGTTACAAGTTAAATGCTGTCCGGTTAATTAGGATGCGTTTGTGTTTAGCAAGTTTCCATCTTTCAGCTGCTTCAGCTGCAGCAACATTCAACGTGTTCATTGCCCAAATAATATCACGACCGATGCTTTTAAAGGTTAACCAGACAGGCAGGAAATAACCTACAGGCTATCAACAACAAAGAGGCTGTAAATTTCGTTTTTCCTTTTGTTTTGATCTTTCAAGAGAAACACTTAAATCAGTTCGCCTAAAGTAAAATTACTGAACTAGTTGACTTCGAAGTACGCCATATTACCCCAAACATTAACCGCTGTTTGGCAAAGAACGATCTCATTGCATAGCGGTGTGACATTCATACTCGTCTAAACACCTACCTTGATAAAATTTGCACATCTGCTCATGAAATTAGCAAGCTATAATCAAACGATTCCGGTAGTTTACACTTCGTGGACCTTATACTTTGTGGATCATACACTTGAAACAAGTGTAAGGAAAAAAAGAAATGAAATATACATCAAAATGTCCAACTCCGTATGCTGTGATATTTCATTAGGGCTTGAAGCAAATATATACAAATGATCTTCATCATGTATATGAATGGTTCTTACGAACCGCAGTCGAGCATGCTGTTACTTATAGTTTGGAAGAAAAAGTATAGTGCTCTTACAGCGAATAAAATGGCCCATGTAGCTTCTTTTTTAAACAACATTCACAGACGTAACATTTGAGTCAAGTAAACCCATCATTCTTCTCAACAATCATCTAAACGGTCGCAACAAAACTCCATTTTTTATGAGTATCGTTGCGGCCCTTGAAGCACGCGGTATCTATCCTAAAAGCTGCTTGGAGCGCAGTATTTGTGAATAAGCTATTCAGTATTAAGTAGTAAAAACCTTTCAACTGCTTGAAGCGAGAGCGTTTGAAGAAATATTTACGCATTTGGTACCTTAACAGCTTCACCTCTTTTAAACAATATCGTCAAAACCGTGTCAGGTGAGTACCTGCAGAAATCGCGGTTGTTAACTGTTGTTTTCTTAAGTGTGCTCAGGCAATGACATTTGTCTTTCCAGGCTAAAATATCGTGTCTTTCTCTGGATCGACATTAAACAAGCTTGTATGTTTAAATTCCAAGCGATCGCTCTAGTCTCATATTAGTATTGGCCAACAAGGACACTTAAATGGGTATAGCTGCTTTACAGCCACGCTGACATGTACCAACAGAAAATGCCAGCTGAATATTACAGGAAGAGAAAAGGTTGGAGGAGATACAGTAGAGTTAATGGTGCAGGGGCAGCGCTGTGTTTTATTGAAATGGGCTCAGGTTTCCGAATCACTTTTACTGGCAAACCAGATAGAACGGTTAGAGAAAAAGATTTGATATCAATGCTATTTACAGTTTTGACAGTAAATATGTTATCACCAAACTCACACATTTGTTCATCTTCGGAAGGCGGAGGCACTACAGTGACATAAATGAACACAAAATATTGTTCAACGACGATAAAAAGGAAATATAGTAAATGTCACATGCAGAAAACAACAGGTTGCTCGTTGCGTTTTGTGGCGAACAAGCCAGTTTTCTGTCCATCATTTATTGAGAGTCCTTCTAGTTAAAATTGGGTCAAGGCATTAAGAAGCGTATTTCAAGTTAACGTAATGGGGCTCATATGACGCCATATTTATGCCGGTAATTTTCACATAACTCAGCCGTCATCATCGCCACTAATAGTAGTGTACAAGTGCAGATAATAACTATTAATGACATGTGTTATCAACTCTAATACCGTGAAATACAGTGTACATTTAATGCACAGTGTGTTAGATATATTCTTTTTGGAGAAGCATACCGAATGAACTTGTCTGGGAGCATTCGCTCTATAAAGTTTCAAAGCAAACCTAGTTCGTTCGCTTGCCCAAGCGAGTTAAAATTTCATTTCCATATTGGATGTGCATTTTGTGAGCTTCTGTGCAATTCCACCTAGTGGCAATCAAAATGCACATTTATGTTGGTTAAAATAGAACGTATTTCCAAAACACCACTATAGTTCACGATTAGAACTGTGTTACGCTTCAGCGTGAGCTATTCACAGTGCGTTGCATGCTAGCTTGCAGCAATCGACTGTGCTGCAAAGCAGTGGCGTTCTTACGCATACATTCCCGTTTTACCTCAGACACGTGCCCTATTGTGGAAATGATATTTAAACAGGCATGTGGTATATCTGACCCTTAGTCTAACGAAAGTACTCAAGCATACAAAATGGCCTGATAGCAGCATTGGTGTATAACAGCGTCGCTTCTGAAGCTTATGGTCTTTTGTAGAATTCTTTGCGATTATGAATGTTCTTACTGAACTGGATCAGTACATATGACGCGTCCTAACCAATTGTGGTCACTGTATGCATTTGTCATGCAATTTCAAAATGCACGTTTAACAGTTCCTTGACATTTTAAATGTGGACGCTTGAAATTACCAAGTTGAAAAGAACAAGCGCTCGTTTACCTCCTATATTACCAAGCGCGATATCATGCACCACATGGCGGTTTGTATCATCTCTTTTTAAAAAATAGTCAACATAAGCCGGACGATTTAGTTTTTCTACTTGTATCCATAACCATAGAGAAACTTAATTATTCTAAAAAATGCATACAGAAAACTGACTATATGCACTAAGACGTAATGTTTTACAAGACCCGTTGGTTGGTCTGGTGGGTTAAAATAATGTTACTGAATAATTGCAATTAGCAATTACACTGTCAAAGGAATGGACTTATCGTTCGTAATACATTGGCCCTGCATTCCGCGTTTTTTCACAGATACAATAAGGGAAAGTTGTAGACACAAAGTATTCCCGTTAGTAGGGCAGATGGTGCATCGTCCAACTAAGGCTAAAATACGGCTAAGCTAAGTGCAGCGAGGACCGAGTCTGGGAGAGTATTCCACCCGTGACATACACGATTATAAAACAACTTTCTACGTCACTCCAGACGGCTGTCTGTTCCTCTAGTTTCAAGAGGAACCTCTTGAGTTCGTGCTGCTGCTGAGTTACCTCCAATAGCGGCACACATGTTGCGGGTGCTGCATAACATTTATGCCATCCTTATACCCCCCCGTTATCCGCAATACTGTTGCCCGAATAGCCCCGAGTTCCAGACTCCGACCGTTTGGACGACCGCTCCCTTCAAGCACGCATTTGGGAGCCCGACTTTGAGCTCAGACCCGTGCACTGTGATCGTGCTTCAGCTATGAACGTTGGGCTTGATGTACGTATTCGATATTAGGGCGTATATACCCACGGAAATCTTTCGGAACATAAAGAATCCCGAACGCGCATTGCTGCAGCTGCTGCCACTCCTACGAGTTAGTACCGAGGTTTAGTGCTGGCTGAAGTGCACATATGTAGCACCGGTTTCAAGTTGACCAAGTTCCCGTTTTAATATTTGATGCATCGTAATGAACACAACGCACACTTGACAACTCGACTGGGTGTGGAAGCATATCCTTATGCGTCGGTAGTCGTAAAATAAGGATGAGCCTAGTAGCCACATATGGTCTCTGCTCAACCTTTTGCGCCTCTCCCCGGGTGAGAAGGTTGAGAACGCAATGTGGCGAATACGAGCTGTGTATAAGAGAATCCATGTCAAGATAACATGAATGAATATAGGAACTCGAGTGCATGTGAACGCTTCGTTAGTGTTACCTATTTGGCTCTCCGTTCTGCTGAGTCTGTCATTCACAATGTATCGGTGGAGGCAGATTTGAGAAGCACATGTCCGTCGCCTTTGGCGATTCGTGATTTCTCTGTTTTCTTTGCGCTTACTCGTCTCTATACGTCATAATAATTAATATTGCGTCACTCCCCTCCTCCTCCTCCTCCTCCTCCAATGTATGCGCGCCACTCGACTACCCAAACGGTCTCTCTGGCTTTCGAGTCTGCTCCATGCATACAGTAATTTCTTTGTCTTTTTATACTACTTCCTCATTTAGCTAACTTGAACTTGCTGCATACTTTCCTGCCGAGCAGGCCATCTTCGGGTTAGTACGTTCTACGACCCTTTCCATTTAGGTGGGAAATTTCTGTCTCCGGGGCTAAACGCAGTTGCACGTTGATGATATTGGGATGTAACTTCATACCGGTTAGGAAGTCTCTAGGTTGTCTCTCCATACTGAACGAAATCATTCCAATATCCTGTCCTTATTTGCTTTTACATTTCTGTCAGTGACCGTTCTGCGGCTCCGCGCTGTCCTTAGGGGTAACTGGAATGTCGGCCACACTCCCACCTCCAGATCCACAGAATGTGGAGGGCTGCGGCCGCACCGTATATTGCATGTGGATCTCCTGGTGACTGGAAGAGTATTGTTAAACATGCTTTCTAATCTCCCCCTTGCAGCCAACCACTTGTAATCGGCCTATTTTCCTCTCCGTCAAACTGATTCTTCTGGGGAAGGTAGGGTGTGGTTCCTATTTACTCTATGTCTAATTTCTCCAAACATGTCAGGAACTCGTTATTTACAAGACGCAGACATTAATCTGATGGTATGGCTTTCAGAATCCCGGAGATCACTATCGCCGAATATGTTATCGTCTTATCCTCTCGACCCGGAAATGCAGTGGCCTCCGTACATCGGGTAAATGCTTGGTCATCACAACTATACTGATTGCTCCGTGTCGTTAACAGAAAGGCCTTAGCACATCGGTGGACCAAAAATTACTAATCTCTGACAAAAGAATCGAGAGCATCGATTTTGGTGCTGCTTGCATGTCTCCCTTAATGAGCTGACACTGATGACAAGGTTTTTCGTATGTATTGACATCCTATTTTATGTCAGGCCAGTAAGCTGGCTGTCCCGTCAAAATGTGACCTCGTGAACCCCGTGTGAGCCATCGCGTGAAAACAAATCCCAACGTTCTATCACCATTTCCATGTAATAATCGGCTACGGGCTAGAGTCCCGGTATTGTTTACATATCAGATTTCAGGATTCGTTGATGCGCAGGTCTACCAGATTCCACGCGAATGACACGACTGATGGTCTGGCTTGAGTTTACTGCAGCTTGATTTATAGGTCTTGCTCTTATTTCTTTGCTCATGAATCTATCGTTTTTGTTCAGCCGCTAATTTTTTCGGATCCTGTGCTAGCAATAAACCACCGACACCGAAGAGGATACTAGAAAAATCATTCTCGTTCTTTTTGAATAAAAATACCGCTGTTTCTTTGTTCTTCTCGTATATGTGGTTTATTGCTACCTTGTGTCGTTGTACGCGCAACACCCACCTTAGCAACTCGCCTCTGGGGTGGTTGGAAGGCCTAATCTGTTGCAACGGTTTGTTATATGTTTCGACTTAAAACTGTTCACCTAGAAAGTAAGATCGCCACTTTTCTAGAGCCCCAAAGACTGGCAAACAATTATTATCTACTGCCAAATGCTTTCGTTTGAATAGTGTCAAAATTATGCTAGTGTATTTTTCTTCTTTTGCCTTGTTTTGGCAACGCACTGATTCCGACGTCATTTGCACCTTTGGTTACCGAAAACACTTGCCGGAGATCGACAATTTTAACTGCAGGCACTTCTTCCCAATTTCCTTCCAATTATCCTCAAGCGCTCGCTGAGATCTTCTCATGCAAGCAAATTCTTTTTAATTTTCTGACAGCTGGTATACAGGTGATATCAACTTGGTAAATCAATACGAAAGTTGCTGTAATATCCGGCGCGGCTGAAGTATCATTTAATACTGCGTTTGGGGGTCGGAATTGGGTTGCCTCAATTTGTCAACACAGTGGAAGCTCCGACGTATACCACCTACATATCCTGACCGGAATTTGCATTGCTTAAGCTTCCACACGGTTATCCCTATGGATCACGACCTTCGGATGTAGACTACCTCTATATGTTGACCATCTTAGTCCAAGCCCTTAAGTGGTCAAATGCCAAGGTTCGACAGTTATTTCTCCGGTACTTGCTTGCGCTCACTCTGACCTACCTTGTGACCAAGCAGCGTCACGGACACTTGCACTACTTATGTTTTAGGTCCTTTGATCCGCAAGCACAAATGCTGAAGCTTGGCAATATTTATTCAAGATAACATTGTTGCTCATTCTCCAACTATTTACCACTGTGTCGTCACCATACACGGTTATACTTGCTAACCTATCCAGCAGGTGCAGTATTGATTAATGGAAAATAAGCGAGGCACCAGACCATCAAATATTATCCTTTCAAACTAATACTGCTTCTCACGGACTGTAAAGGCTGTATTCTCCCGGTCCTCCTGTTTGATCGCCAGCTGCATGTGACCAGATGCCCTGCACAAAACCGTGAATATCTTTGATTTGTGCAGTCTGTTACAAATGTCTGCGACTAATGTCACCGAGACAATAAGATTCAGCGAGATAACGTTCGTCCTTCTGACGTACAGGTAAAAGCAGTATTTCACTTTGGCTTCTTTCGCCAGAACGATT